CTGCTTCCGATATCTCCATGTCCCCGCATGTGCTGGCTTCTTGTCGTGCACGATGCTCCGCACCCTAGAACCCTCGTCATGACCTCCCGTCCCTAACCGTGTAATTACGGCCTCCATTGCGTGGCCATGCTCCACGAGGGCAGTTAGGATCAAAATGCTCGGGCAATGTACAGGTCGTGACTGAAAAGATCTGTCATACTAGTCATAATAATGTACCAGAAGGATGTTATCAAACGCTAATAATACACGACAGTTTTGGGACTATTTCCTTTTTTGGTTTCTCCTCATCCTTATCCATCGTGAACCCTACCTGAAATTTTTCACTTCTTCGTCCATACAAAATGGCTTTACAACGATTTCAAACATCCCTAGATGAATGTTTGCGAGAGCCCTGGGGAGAGGGCTTATGAGCACTGGGAGCGTGCGAACATGGTTCAAACAATGATAGCAGCCAGGAAGCAAGAGATCCAAAAAACACGGACTGAGGCGTCAAAGGAACTGACGCGAGACTTTGAGCATTTAGAGGCATCAATGCCCCCATACGAGCTCCCCGTACCAATCGCTTATTGCACGGGCGTACAGCAATTCGAAAAGGAATACGACAAGCGGTTTGGGAATGCGAGGTGAGAAACCCATGCAACGTAAAGTCCCGGTCCTGACGAACAAAAAGGGAAATATTTGTGGACATGGAATGGTCCAAGGTGACTGGCCGATTCACCATTCTCTATCGACGAATGATGGGCCAAACCCTCAACCGAATAAGTACGATCCAATTTGCCCACTCATCGGGCGTGATAGTATACCAACTAGAGACTAGTGCATGTGAGTTCTCACCTTCAAACCATATTTGATTCTAATACGCATCCCAAGGCCCAACAAAAATAAAGCAGATACTCACTGCGGGACATGTCACAAAATATGGAGTTGGCATCCGATGTAAGCAAATTTGCGAATCGGGCGGACCACATTAAACGTGCACTACAGCCGACATGAAAACGGCAGAAGAGGTCTGGGGATTCTCCATGGCAAACACAAAAAGATATTGGCGAGCTTGCAGTCCAACTGCATCCTCATCATTGGAAGAGGACGAAGGGCCTCAACCAACAACCAGGGGATACGAAAGCTAGCCACATTGTATTTAAGGCAGCGGATTAAAAAGCACGAACCCAAGTGGCACGGGGGCTGGTGGACGCGGCACCTCTCAGACGAACAACTAGAGTGTAAGTTTGTGATTCCTCATAATACAATCGTTGACAATATCTCAGATGCTGCGATCGATGCATATGCATCGTATGAAATTTTCCTGAAAATTACGGAAAAAATCAAACGAACGTGTGCCCCAAGGGTATATCTCGTTTCGTCATCTTTTTATTTCAATTTTTTTGAGCTCATACATGTAAAAAGATATAATCAGTAGTGAAAAAAATGCGAGGATGGCTGATAAATCGAACATGCCTAGCTGAAATGTCACATCCCAGGATTCATTCTTTGACCCATGTGGCAAAGATAATAATTCACCCATGCAAAAAATGTTATTCGAGTACATGCGTTAAACTACAAAGAATACAAGCACATTACTCTTCGGAAGAAAACATGTTCTTAACCGCAGTCATCATACTGCGACGGAAGAAAGTTGCCATTATATCGTATTCTTCACGCTCGCGGGAAGTAAGGCAATCCTCTTTGTACGCATGATTCGCGATCCGAAGGTCTTTGAGTTCAACGATAACATCGGCGGCACGCCCTCTTCGGTACAATGGCGACTCAGAGCTTTGGCTATTTTCATCATATCTGGCCCATGAGTTCCGAGGAACATCATCGCCATCGATGCTAATGAAAAGAGGTTCGCGGTATCGGGGGAATGGACAATTTCTTTGTCAGGGGTAGACAGGGCGTCTACCGCCTTCAACACCATCGCAATCAAGGACGTCGTCACCGATGAGTCCCCGATCGTAGATTCGTCATTGGAACTTCGATCCAACCAAACTCGCCATAAGAGATCTTCTCATGCACCCCGCAGCGAGGAAGTACGACCCATGCATGATACATCCATGGCTCGTCGATCCCTCCTTTGAAATCGTCGCATAGGCATATATTTGCCCAGGCGGAAATACGCTAAGAATACAATTAGAAACCCAACCCAAAGGAGAAAAAATTCACTCACACTGTTTGACCTGCGGAAAGCACGAATGAACCGTACCGGTGTGGGGCCTGGTACAAGTACTCGAACCCCAATGGGGTCTGCACGTCCACATCACCGAAATTCACGATCAGCTTTTGACTTTCTTCGAGAATCGGGATGAAAAAAAACCACATGGCCACTAGCGCAATAGAGGCTGATCCCAAGGCCGTTCGGGTTTTGATGGGGTGGATGCACGGATCCAACGGCGGAGATCATTGGGCCTCGCCAGTCTCGGACATGATGATCATCCAATGCAAAGTCCGCCAGGGCCACGCCGTGAGTGTTAAGGAGCCTTTAACCCATGAGCTTACGCATCAAAGCAAAAAAAAAAAAAAAAAAAAAAAACCTCACCTCTCCACCGGTTGATATAGGCTCGCAGCTGTTGGGGCATGCTCGACGATGAGCGGCCTAGATGTTGGCCAATGACACATCTCGTATGCAGCTTCCCGCGCGGAAATCTCGAACAGTTCGTCCACTGCATCGGAATCTGGAAGACACGTCAACGAAACCAATGGAAAGAGCAAGCAAACTCACCTATACAGAGCATACTGGACCGAAAGTCGATGAGGTTGAAAAGGGTTGGAACGTCGAACTCGACTGACTGCTGCTGTCCCGTCAAGATGATAGGGTCACCGACCATTGCCTGAAATTCTTCGGGTGACATATCGTAAGCCTGTGACGCATCTAGCACGGTGAGCATAGAGTTGTCGAGGTCGTACTGGGTTGATTCTACATAACCAGTGAAGGCACAGATAGATGCCTGCAATGCTATGAAAACCCAACCCTGAGAAGGCAACGAACGACTCACCGAGTTTTTATGGTACGGAAACACAAACGTTTCCTTGTGAGGTGTTCTATTTTTGCGCATAAGAGACGCAACACGGAATTCTACACGATATATATCCTGCCCAGGCCTGTCAGCTTTCACCGCCCAAAGCCCACAGAAAGCTTACCTTGGGATTTTTCGTCGGACCCGGTGAGGTCCTCTTGAGAGGGACTTGAGACATGTCCAAAGTGTTCAATTCTGGCCAAGACTCGATCTCCTCCTCAGAGATGGAGAACGCTATCGTTCGGTCCTTGGCCGTACCAGCCTTTCGAGAGGACACACGAGTCTTTTTCTGTGGTTGCAGGCCACTTTCATCTCCCCCCGCCTACGCTTTTGACCGGCACGAGAAGTTCCCTGCCGGCGTGGCCCAAGGCCCACCTGTCCTTTGCTACCCTCGATTTTGCTTTGAGTTTGCTCCACGTGTGATCTGAGAGTCATCCCTCCTTGACTGCCAACTCCCTGGGTGTGTGGCTCGAGGCTCCTCCCGCCCTGGCCATCAGACGGCACCTCGGCTCTGCTACTTGAAGAGCCAGAGGTTGCTCCTTTACGTATGTGCGGGGGGGTGTGTGGCGTGTACGGGGGTGTGGGCACGTGGAGGCGGTGTCGCGGGGGCGTTACTGGGGGACGTGGAGTATGGCGAACCGAGTCCTCCTCATATGGGCTAGGGGAGCGATTTATCGTCTCGGGTATGCACGGCGAAACCAATGTCCATGCAGCATGGAACTCGTCAAGGTCAGCTTGTTCGACCCGTCCCGATCGAGAAACGGATATGATAAGGCGAAGTATGGCATTTTCCAACACCTTCTCCGGATCGGTGGTTCGAGAGAATCCTCCATCCAACACAGCATAAGTCAACAACGTGTTGATGGTAGGGAGCGTGGTCGGTTTCGTGAGACCCGTGTCAAGAAGCAACACGAGCGGGGAGACCAAAACCGCCATAACGAGCGGAGCAACGTGAGAAGAACTATAGAAATCGTTAGTACGGACCCTCAGAAAGAGAAATGAAAAAAATACCGTTGGTTAGCGAGGAAATAATGATTTCGCTATAACGTTCGTTAGTCATTGGGCATGCAAGAGGTTTCGGGATACTCACGAAAAACTTCAACATGCCCGACTCCCTCATCCCATTCACGGCAGCAGCGCAAAAATAAATATTGCTGAATAATCGGTATTGCGCAGTAGTGACATCCAGTTGCAAAGCGAAACGAATCAGCTCTTGCGGGGTGGGATTTGGCAGGTTATCGGATTGGAAGGGATTTTGAAGCTTGAAAAAGTCGGGGAAGGATCGCAATTCAACCAACCGACCCGGAATATTTCCCACCCAATACTCAATATCTCGCCTTATCTTGCTGGCAGGCCCGGAAGAAATTGTTCCTGAAAGATCCATGGCCGGCTGCTCCGTCACCGTCCAATTGAGTCGAATCATAAAAAGTGAAGATATGACACATGGGAAAATTTGCGTCACCACTGATCGCGAGAAACTAGGTTTCCCGGAACGTGATACTATCTCATTCACACGTGCTTGGACCAACTCATCCCATTGATCCTCCCCTGCCAAGAGCCCTTGGGCAAGATCATGAAATTCTGACTTCTTCAAGCGTATTTCGAACGGTGTCACTAAGTTCATCAAAAGGCGTTGACATGGTTTCCTTCTGCAGCGGAGTTACCCGAGTCGGACAACTCCTTTAAATACAATTCCAAGTCACATGTTTCTCCGCTCCGGGCGACTTTTAACACCCGGTTCCGACAATTTCCAAATATGGCAGTTGTGGATATTGTACACGAGAATCTTGAGGTTTACGTGCAACTCTTCGTATGGAACTCTGACATTTCATAAGGGACCCATAGCCTCGACCGCCTGCATCATCTTTTGACGGGCCATATCCTGACATCCATCAGCGTTGGCAGCCTGAACCCTCTGGAATCCTTCCCGGAATTGCTCAAAGGCTTGAGGATACTGTTTCGAAAAATGAAGAACAACAGCCTGCGCAGCTTGGCAAGTGTCTTCACTCTTGGAAAACATCATAGCCATGAACATAGCAGCGAATACATCAGTCGGCTGAGGATCGCCCACCAAAGGAAGACGCATAAGAATGCGGCGTTGCGAGTCCCGGACAAACGCTTCAAGTATTGCAGACATCGTATCCGATCGATCCTCCTGCTGCAATTGGCGATCGACCCAACCAGAATAAAAGGAACGGGTCATGCAATGAGGGGAAAGAAAGGACGATGCCCGCATCAGTGTCCCAAAACTCAGCTCATTGGATGCGTCCAACTTTGAAAGTGTAAATACAAAATGCACCTGGCCTGGTGCCATGACGCTATAAATAATCAATAGATTGAACATGAACAAGAAATGCGACCTACAGAGTTTGCCCCGGAGAGAGGACAAAGTATCCATATCGATGAGGCGGATAAAAGAGATATTCGTACCCGAGAGCCCCTTCGAAAGTGACATCGTCAAACTTGACGATCAACGGGTGCGACGGGTCAAGTGAATCGAGCGAGACAAAGACGAGTTTGTGACTGACGTCGCATTGGAGTGCTGTGCCGACCCCATTGGAATCCTGATGAGGCGACGAATACGAACCTGTGGCTGCCAGCATCGGGATCCTCCAAGAGCTGTAATCCCCAGGGCATCCCTTACCCTCGGAGATCATAACACTCTCAAGAGTGTCAAGAAGCCTATAGAGAATATAAGAACGACCGCAAGAGAAACGAGAAAACATACCCGTCCACAGCGAGACGGCCAGCCCCCCTGAGCTGATGGACGACTAGCGGCCTAGACGTCCGCCAATCGAAGACTTCCTGCACTACGCTGTCGAATCGCTCTAACGTTAGTTTGTCGTCCTCGCCCAGTCGAACACCGTCTGAATCTAAAGGGACATCAACGATGGTCTATCTGAAATATAAAGACGTACCAAAGCATGCAACATGACCCTTCTCACCGGTGAGAGCGAGAAGGTCACCATGGTCCAGTACGCGTTCTTCAGGCTTGCCAACAACCAAGACCATCCCTTGATCATTGACCAACCTCTGGAAAGCCGCTGCAGACATGGCCAAGGCCTCAGTCTGCAGCAGAGTTTTCGGGTGCCACATCGCGTCCAGAGCACTGCATTCTAGTAAACGCCGCAGCTTCCTGATAGGTTCCTGACCGGCCGTGAGTCAATGATGGACACCCAAGTTACGAATACACACCAGGTTGAGACGATGCGGGAAGGAAAACCTCTCCCGAGTCCAGCAACACGTCTCCAAGACGCAAGGGAGTTCGAATTCGCTCAGTATCTAGATTACTGCATGAGAAAAATACCGAGGATCAAGTGGTGCATACCTTTTGTGCGCGGGTTGGGGGAAGGGGGTACGAAGGGACGTCGGGGATGTCCAGTCCAGGCCAACTTTGTATATCTTGGAGATCGGGGATGTGGAACTCGGCATCCTCACCACGAGAGTCCTGATAGCGCGTTCTAATACTCGGAGCTGTTGTGCGACGTCGGGTGGATAAAGGGATGCGGCGAGCCGTGGACCTAGTGGAAGAGGGAACTGATGGACGTGAGGACCGTTGGAGCGGACGGCTTGTAGATGTACTGGCGGCAGAGGAAGTGGGTGGAGACTGTCGACGAGGAGTTGAACGCGATTGTCGATGCACGACAGAGCGGGGAGCTTCCCCTTCCGTTTCCTCGTCATCGGTATCGTCGAGAGGAGGGATAGGGTCACGATCGATGGTCTCGGGTATGCATGGCAAAACAGCAGTCCATGCAGCATTGAACATGTGGCAGTCTTGTGGGCCGATCTCTCCTGTTTGAGACACAGAGATTACGAGACGAATGAGTGCATTTTCAAGCACCCTTTCAGGACCACTCGACCGGAAAAATCCTCCACGCAGGACGGCATACGATAGCAAAGTGTTTGTCGTAGGCAGCGTTGAAGGTTTCGCGAGGTTCTTGTCGAGAAGCAAGACCAAGGGCGATATAAGAATCGCCATACCCATAGGGGCAACATAAGAGAATCTGAAAAAAATCAGTACAACCCATAGCTGATAAGAAACAACAATCACTTTTGATTAGCACCCCAAGAATGGTTATTCTACAATGTCATTAATTAGGGATGCAAGATGTTATATCACACTCACGAGATAGCTTATTCCTCCAGACTCCCGCATCCCCTTCACAACAGCAGCGCAAAAATATATATTACTGAGTAGCCGATGTTGTTCTGATGTGGCACTCAGACGAGAAGCAAATCGAAGAAGACGTTCAGACGTGAGATGTTGCCCATCATCCAAGGGAGAAGTGTCTCGAAGTTCGAGGAAATCATGCTGCTGTGATCGTAATGCAACCAACCGATCCGAAATATGTCCAAGCCAATAATCGATACATCGCCTCGTCTTGTCTAGGGGCGCAACAGCAATCGGTTCTGAAAGATCCACATCCTCCTTGTTCAACATCCGATGAAGACGAACCATGAAAAGAGACGACAAGATGCAGGGGAAGATACGTGGTACCGTCGATTTCTCAAAACGGACTTCCCCAGAGCGTGCCAATGTGTACTGGAGAGCATATGGCTGGACCAAGGTTTCCCATTGGTGGAACGATTGGGCATGACCTTGAAATTCCAATGGGAATTGGAACCCTTCAAGCACGTTTTGGACCGTAGCAGTGAGTTGTTCAAAATTCCGTTGAGGGATTGACATGGTTGTTGCTGATCACCTGATGATCAGGCTTATGGATTTCCCACGACGTCGGCAAAGTTCTTTGGTTCCTCGATCAAGGAACCACTGGCATATTACCCTTTTGAGAATGAACCCCGTTATTTATAAACATGATGGGTCTTTTACAGAAGGGCGCATCTGAACGTGTGATCCACACTTGTAAAGTAAATGAATGGCCGTATAATGCAATTTTTCGTCATTTTTCCCTGTTCTAGTGGTGCTGCGACATGTCATACTCCCCTAATAATGCCAACTCTTCCGAGTCAATTTCCCCCCAATCCCCTTCTTCCTCTTCACTGGCCGGCTCCATGGCTGTAGACGAGGACTGGGCCGCCTTTTGGGTCTTTTTCTTCTTCGTCTTCGTCTTCGTCACTGCCGGCGATGAGGCCTTCCTTTTCCTCGAGCTTTTCCTCGAGCCCTGTGCACCTCGCCGTCAGCATCTTGCAATGATCGACGCGTTGTTTACTTATCAGCCTGTCCTTCTGCCTCCCCTCACCTTAAAACACGGTTATCAGCTGTCGTACGAGCATGTAACCTGACGTTACCTCCGGTCTTGCCTCCTGGCGCCGCCATCCTGCCTTTGCTGAACACGCGCCCCCCAACCTTTGCCACCCTCTTCTCTGCTTGGATTATTCCCGCCTCTAGCTCTGCAGAGATTGATGGTTGTGAGCTGGAAGGTGGTGGCACGTCTGGAGACATGGTGGAAATAAGATGTGGGAGGTGACGCGGGAGGTGACGCGTGACGTCACTTTCCCCTCCCATCTTCTACGATGCCTAGCATGGCCTACGAGCTCTATAATGACGTTGCCATGCACGTTATGGACAGAATGAATCATATCCAAGAAATCCTGCAAGACGAAAACGCGGATCATGTCAACAATCTCGTCGAGGTACTCATGCGCCTCCGAGACAAACTCAACGTGAGGCCCACATATTCAGAGGGGGACGTTCATAACATTTCATAGACAATGGACCACATTCTCGGTCCTCGGAACCAAGATGAGGGTGGCGATGGGAATGCCAACGGCAATGGGGGCAGCGGTGGAACCACCAATAGAGGCCCTAACCCAATTGCGAGTCGTACAAACACGCAAGCGCCAGTAAGTCATCTTTCACTCACATATCTCCCCAATCAACCCCTCCCAAGTGGGCGTACGACATGCAAGAGATGCAAAACCTTGCCACCGAAGGCCCAATGCCCTTCGAGACCCTCCGCGATCAAAGTTGGTTCATGCCCGACACGCTGCTTAACTCTCGCACCAAGACTGGATCGAAGCGAATCACTCTATGCGAGATCAACACCCTTCGTATGCGTATTGGACTAATGGGAATCCCTGCCATACGGCTGCGTGATTGGGTGAGTTTCATCCAGCTCCGTACGTCCTTGATCTGAACTCTGTTGCAAGCATGCTTTGTTTCCTGCAGGCTTAGAGGAGCCCCCCGACATGACCTCGATCATTTCCAACAGTGATCCCTTGTCCCAATTCGACAAGATCGTCGATGTACGTCCATCTTTCTTTCTGCAGATCCTTCTTCATCTCTCCGCCAGCTCCGGAGTAGGTATACCCACAGTGGGTCGTTGAAACGGTTTGCGTTGGATACCCTAGAGGCTCTGCTCGTGCTTGTGGAAACAGCAAGCTATATCACTCGCGAAGATGTCCAGACACCCATCTCTCCCACTTTTGAGCACATCTTGCGCTCTCGTTACTCGGCAGACAACACGAAACATCCATACGACGGTTGCTCTCTTAGCAAGGAAATAACGGCTACTACACACTGGCTGAACTCGTATTTCTACGTGAGTAAACTTTGACATTTGGACCAGAAACAAATCCTGATTGATCAGTGGGGCCCGGTCGTCGTCCTTGCACCACCGTTTTTCATTGACTTTTATCGGAGCACGGTTTTTTTCGAAACGATTTGGACACCCTGAGATCGACATTTGGATCGGTTTGTGTGATCACCAAGGGTGTACCCCCGTCGACGATCGCAAGATCGATGCCATCCATGCACTTGACAAGTTGATGCGTGTAGCCTTTGACCACGAGGTCGCAGGATATGCTCGTGGGTTGGCAGTCCAATTACATTCTTACGATGTCGCTACCCGTCGCAAACGTCGTCATGGGCATGACAGGAATCATGTTCTGTCACCGTGATCTGATGTATGTTATCTTCGACAATGAGACAATGGCTATAGAGGTTGCAACGAGGGAGCTAAAAGAAAGAGACCATGAAACACATCAGGTTGTCAACCATGATCAAGGGTAGAGTGACGTTTGCGGTGAAATGAAAGAATCCCCCCAACCCATTCGTTATCTCCACAACCACTGGACCGCTTTAGTTCAAATTTTGTACATATAGACAACGTATTTAACATTATTTTATCAGTGAATTAAAATTCCAATCCCCCTTGGCATATCAGTCCCATCAACCTCGTTCACCCTCTGAGCGCACATCGAAACATTCGCAAAAGTCAGCAGTGGAAAAAATCATATAAAATATTTAAATGACAGGATGGCATCCTAACAAGTATGTGGGATTTTTTAATATTTTTTTAAACCCCCAGGCTCCAACTTGCACCAAAAATGGCTGTCGTGTATCTCGTCCACGAGTTCCCGAGTACGAATGAAAAAACTTTCTTCCTCCCCTTATCTCCTCAACGAGATGACCGTCTAGAACAAAAATTTGGGGGTCTGGACAACTAAATCAAGTCTATGTTTTAAGCCCAAGAACGCACGGTGGAAGTGCGAAATGGCGGAGAACGAAGGGGTTGCAGGTAGCGCCGTGGGATACGTTGGGTCAGATGGAATGCTTTGAATTCAATGCACTAGAGACTCATGTAGAATAGGGTAGACAGCGTCAGGGTGCAGAGGGAGCAGTAGGATGACATCTCAATGTGACGGGTTGTGCAACTTGGATAGCGGCTATGAGACTAAGGATCGCTTGCATGTAGAAAGGAGGTCGCAGAACCGTCAGATGCGTGCAGCTGGGTACACTGAAAGGGTAGACGGCGTTGATCATTCCGAAAAATGAACTCAAGTGAAAGTCCTGGATCCAGCGCGAAAAAACTGTCAACGTGCAGACGGACCTCAACTCATCATGCTCATCAACGCGATTGTTATTTAAGGAATTGTATTTGACAATAAGCGGAAGAGGAAACGGCCTTCATGTAGCCATCGTACACGGGTGCTGCCGACGAAAAGCCTTGTGGGTCTTCCCATAAACTGGGTAAAGATCCCTGGGCCTCTCAACAGACTCGTGGAAAAAGACGCGCCGATCTGAAAAAAGGGCAATCACCATTCGCCCACTTCCTGACCAAGACGCAGCATCGTGGCGGAGGCCTGCACCACGGATGAAGAATAGATCCGAAGGGCGAGACGGGAAGCCACATTTGAGATCCTCAAACTGGAGTTCTCCCCCATCGTACTCTCCAAAAACGGCAATAGCATCGAAGCCGGACCAACAAGATCGCTTATCCGCATGGAATTTGGTGCCGGCGTTGAATCGGACAAATTGGCTGAAGAAATGGCACTTGATGTGTGCCAAGTAACCTTCCGGGTCTCGATCGCGGCGGATAGAATCCCACATGCGGCGACTTTGTCGTGACAGGTTTGGGGCAAGCCTCTCCAAATATTGATTGAGGATGTGATGAAAGGCCTCGCTCTGCTTGTGGAAAGCGTGGCTTTGCTCCACGCATTGCCGCGCATCCTTGGTGATGCCGGGGGAATATCCTGCAAATTTGTTAACCTCTGTCGTGACACGATAGAAAGTTCACTCACTGTTCGCCCAATCTGATACCGATAGCCGTACTGGATTTGGCCGTTCTTGAAGAGATCGGATGAAGCGGTGTTGAAAGTAGCGCGATACTGGTCGCGGGTGAACTTGTACGTGTGGCTCAACTTGTGGCCAGCATTAACCATGTTTTCCTTGGATAACGTGTCAATAATGAACAGCAATGAACGGTTAAATACAGACATGAATACCCATAAGGACGTTTGGGAGACGGATCGCAAGAAGGACCCCTGACCGGTCCTCGATCGCCGCACCATCGGGATGACGAAGAACGGCCATTTGTTCCGGTGTCATAGTGGGGAGCGCCAGCTCGATGGGTCTGGCTTGGCTTTTCGAGGGCGGAGTAGCCTCGTCGTTGTGCATGGCTACAGTTGCGTAATCGATATCCAACTGCACTGTGTTGCAAGTTGGTCAGGCGAAAGTGGACGGGAAAATATCCTAAAACTTACCAGTGTTTTTCAGCGCTTTAAAGATGGTGGAGTCCACCAGCTCTTCCGCTGCTTCAACCTCTCTGCGTACTTGTGGGTCATCAATACCCTCCATACGCTGGCGGTGAGCCTCTACTGCCTCTTCTCTAGTTGAACGTTGATGCTTAAATGGAACGCCAAGGAACGGTAAACCTACCGAGGCATGGCTCTGAACTGCTTTGGACCAATACCGGCTTGTCGATATTGGTCCCTCTTGGCCCGGGAGCGGATCTTAGGAGCCTTCATAGTGAGGCAAAGAGACAAATGTGTTACACCAACTCCGCAGTACTTTTTTTTTCACCAAGCGCGATATTACATTACATCATGTGACTTCAAAGTACGGTTACGTGTCCCTGCTTCTATATAATATCACATACAGTTGTTTCCATCAATACATATTCCGCATCACAACCACCAACGTGTTAGACACATCCTTCTCGCTTCCCTTGCCCCCCTACTCAAACCCATCAGGTAGTCGCGTGTCGTGTCCAGTGTGGAATAAATAAAAATAATAAATTGGTGTAAGATAATGGTCAGGGCCTTGGCCTTCAGCCAAAGCGCATTCATTGGCAAGACAGCTTCGTCAGGTTGACGTTCAGCAGTCCAGGTGCACCCCAATGAAGTATCATGAGAAGAATGAAAAAGGAAAAAAGAATAAAAAGGAGCCCGGAGCCCTATGGAACATCAATGTCAGCAACAAGATGATGAGTGATCGGTACATTACCATGCATACGTCATACCCATGCACCCCTGCAGCGGGGTGACAACGACCTCAGTATGCATCAGCCGGTGGCCTCCATTTCAGAGACCCATGGTGAGGGGCGTGGAGGCAACAAGAGTCAGCGCTTCATCCAGATGAGATAACAAAGAAAGAAAAAAATCCTTTGGTAATAAGAGAAAAAAGAGATGCGATGTACAACCACCTGAAACCCAATTGACGGGATACCCAATGTTTGATGAACTGCACGAGGGTTGATCGGATGATGAACTTGCAGACGGAAATCTGAATGGGTGGTAAAGGTGCGGACGGAAGAAATCTTAGACGCTTTCCCATTAGCCCCCAGAGAGGATCCAGCCATCGATGACCAGCGCGTCGAGGGCCTCAGGTAGCCAATGATCAAGATCAAATGGCTATAGCTTTAACTGAACAGGCAGGCGAGCCAAGCCCACCCGTTCGTTGCAGCTGCTTAGCGCTAAGGGGGAAAAGGGAGGAATGAAGGGATAGACAGACGGATGGACGGACGGATGGACGGACAAACGAACAAAGGACAAACAAATGAACAACGGACAAACAAACGGGCAAACAAACGAACGGACAACAGACGAAGCTAAGAGGGAAGAAAGGAGGAACTGACTAATCCAAATAAATATGAAAAAATTTTCCATCACACGGCAAGTCCCAGCCCCTCATTCGGCGCCTACGAGAACGCACCACTGGGTATTACCACGATATCGAGGCAACGAGCAGCATTGGGAGATTTATGCAAAAAGAGCGGTCCCAACTCCCTCCGGCCTGATAGTGGTCGTTCGGTGAGATTGAGCGCTTCCTCAAAATTGTCATCGAATTTGACAAGTGCTTCAGCGCCGACGTGTTCCAATGCTTTCTTTATTTCTTCTTTGATTGCTTTCTTAAGATCCTCGACATCCCTGTTCAACGCGATGTCGACACCGATAGTACGATCGTAACCATCGCCGAAAACCCAGAAGACGAGCCTGGTCGTTGTTGAAAGAGATTGCGTGTCATGTTTGGTTCGATGTGCAGGCGATTCTCTTCGACGCGGGGCTTGCGAGAGTGGTAGGAAGGCTTTCAATGGTGTGAGTTTTTGAGACTTTCTTCGAGGTCATAATCGTCGGGTAGGGATGCCTAGCTTTGAGGAAGCTTCGAGGCATCGACATGATCAGGGCAATGGCACTGTTCCTCCTCGATCGAGCATTGACAAACAATGCAGGAATCTCGTACAATCCTGAGCATCACCAACGACGCTCTCATTCTTGAATCCCATAATTAACGCCATCCGCTCCAGAGCGGCACCGTCAACTTCGGAAACCCACAACCAACCAACCACGGCCAACCAGCCGGGGTTCACGAGTGCGTGTGATCGATTTGCCCAGTATGCGAGTTTCTGAAGTCTCCCTTACCACAGCTGAAAACCAAAGTGGCAACCAATCATCCCCGCTACCCATAGTCTACTACCCTTATCCATACATGTCATTCTGGTTCACCATCAGATAAACCGAAGCGCACGCAGATCAAAAATGCATGTACTAATTGCCAAAAGGCGTGCAAGGGCCATGTGGTCGCTGCGTATGTTACGGTTTATCCGACTGCACAGCATGTGGGATTGACGAGAAGGGCACTTGGGCGCTTTATGACCAGGAGAGGGGCGGTGCGCAATGTCGAGTTTGCTAAAACTGACGATAGCGGAAGTGCGCAGGTAGATAGGGATGACATGGTAAAGGGAATGATGGAATCGGGAATTGGAAAGGGTTCTAAGGACGTTGCAGAGCGTCAACGTGACGATTTAGAGGGAGAAAAGGGAAAGAACCATAACTGCGCACCAAAAATCGCCAAATCACCCAAAGTCCGCCCATCCAGCCCTCCACACTCATCGGCGAGAGAGGCCAGCACGATGCGGCCTGTAACCAACGATTACTGTCGACAAAACCACCAAAATCGTTCGAAATCCCCTGACAACTCCAAAAATCGAAGATTAGCGATCGATTTGACCGATCCAGATCAACACAAAATGGTAGCAGAATGCTACCTAGGACCTCAGGGTCCGATTGGCACCAAAGAAACCAAGAAACGCCATTGAAATCGTCCTACAACTCCAATGGAGATCGAAAATCGAAAATAGGCGCGGAGGCCTATCAGACGGTGAAGGAGAGTAACCGAGGCTAAGAGTGCACACAGAGCAGCTCATCGCCGTAGATCTCGCATGGCATTATTGCCAGGAATCCGAGAAATTGTCCCAGAGATCGAGTGGAAGGGTGAAATCGACATCGAGTACGGCCTGTGAAATGGATCAACCAGAAGTGATGAAACCGAAGGGAAATATACGCACGCCCCATTGCCACAGGATCCTTGCCGCAGCGACCAAATGTATCAAATCACTGGAAATCACGAAGAATCGAAGGGTCTAGCGTCAAGCCCGGAACGCGGAAGTTATTCGCTAAAATTATGCGATATGGCAACTTCAGTGGGCAATATGGAAGTCGAGCCATTATTTACCGGTTCGACGCAAAGACAGCGATGGAGTCGATTCGAGCATGTCAGAATCGCTACAGCTCGATGAAGCGGTAAATTTGCGGGACATTCTGGATCGGAGGCACATGTTCATGAATGGGGACTGAAGATGATAGCAGGGAATGGAGTTGCGAAGGTGGCAATCAGAGGAGTGATGCCCGAGGGAAGCGACGGAATGAGAAACGCTGACAAGTCGGTCATTCAGGATTGCCAGACCCCCATTCCAAACCAATATCAAGACTCACCACGTAGCCCTTCCACATCGTCAAGATCAACGATTATCGAGCCGGGCAAGCCGATTGTCAAGCAATGACAAACATGTGCGAACCGTAATCGAGAGTCCCCTGAGTTGCCAAGAGGTGAAAAGAGGGTTGATTTCTCTGAACTGTGGAGATGACGATAGGAAATCGATTCAATCAGCAGGTGTGCGCTGTTCGCCTTCCCCCATCACCCTGCAGCCCACATCGTGCTTCCAACGATGCTCCTATCCCCCATGCGACGTCACCGCCAATTCCAGATATGAAGGGGACAGAAGGGCATCGAAGTTGGACATTTTTCGTCAAGTCGAGTGAGGTCAGATGGCATTATTCGCATATCGACTGACAGATCTGTTCAAGGGTGTCACGCAGAACAAGTGTTACAGGTGTGAGGTTGCCATGAAATTGGGCGAGGGAGGAGTGGGTGAGTTTTGCAAGAACGGTATCGACAGCATTATTCTGATCGCTCTGGAGGGCGGCAAAGCTGAGCTACAACCCAGAGACATCGGCGTTAATAAAATGGCAGAATGAGAAACCATACATACTGCGATTCCCAATTGATGGCCATACGTCTCACCAAGGATGGCACTCGCCAAGGAACCACCAAGCCGCAAGTTGAACAGACTGCAGCAGAATTAGTCAGCTTGACCAAGAAATCCTCAAAGTCTGTGGGGATGACAACGCGTTTGGGCTTGGGATGTCAAATGCTACAATAATTGATGGAATGGTGGTCAGGAAGGTGAGATGAAGGAGGACAAGGAGGATTCAAAGGGAACCTACGAGCATGATGATGACTAATTACCCGATCGAGGAACGAGAGCAGGTACTTGTCATCTTTTCGCGAGAAACGTTACTCCATACAAAAACTTGACAATACGGCTGCCGGATTAACAGCTGTTTGTTATCGTACCAATGAGGCATGCAGTGGATGACAGAAAAACGCCATGGCCAGCAAGTTATATTAATCTCGTTCCTCATGGCAAGAGTCAAGGAAAGACTCGAGCTGCTGTGGAGCACCCATCGAGAGACGAGAGGTCAAAACCGTTTCCAAAATGGATCAGTAGTGGTCTTCACTGCACGAGTTGGGACTGGAAACAAACCATACGCACCCTCTTGCTACTCCAACAGATTGAGGTGCCCAAGGGTCGCACGTTGTCCAGAAGGAAACGAATGCTGAGGAGATGGAGGAAGGAACGGGGAATCGGATGATCCAGGGAAGAGTCAAAGACGAGGTAGGTGGAGTTAGTGCCGGAAATACAGCGACGACGAGCACGCCTGTGCGACATTGTCAGTGATCAGCCTGACGATGCCCAGGATGATTTCTATGCCGGCTAGTACCACGCACATGAAGATCGATCCGACGCAGACTCCTGGCTCCCTTTCGCCGAGTGGTATTTCGATTGAGGAACGGAGCCATGTTTTTTTTTTTTGCAGGAAGCTTTCGGCTGGTCCCGGATGCTACACCGGCTAACACCCTCCATAGGCAACCTTTTTCCCCATATCTAAAGTGGTGAGCCTCCTTGAGCCTTCCCGAGTCCTCACAACGATTCCCACTTCCTTTGCGTCGCATTTGACATGTTATAATAATTCTAGGTGAACACGGTGTATGCCTTCTGTGCCTTTGGAGCCCAGTGGGTAAAGTTCTTTCTCTGAACTGTATGTCGCTCATTGGGCAAGCCCATGCATATTAACATAAGCCACACGGTCATGATCCTTATCATCCAGAGCTGAGGACCTCGCTTGCGGACATGGGTCGGACAACTAGGCTACTGATGTAAAACATATTTAATTTTGCGGCTACGCATATTTATATGACAAATACACGATTTTATCTCGTGGCAAGAAATGATGAGCGTACGGGAGAGAGATGACTACCGTGAAAGAACATGGCGATATGATGCGGACAAGATGATTAGTGTTCACGAAGGATGTGGAAGGGGCGCACGATGCATCGGTCTTCTCGGTTGGTGCCTTTAGGCCCTTGGATTTTTGCCGAGATATCCATTACCTGGAGGGTAGTCGTCACCTTGCATGAACCACACATGCAACTCGTGACGTCGACAACCTTTTCCATCCAACTAGAGAGGGCCTCCTCTGCTGTGTCACCCTCTCCAGTTGAAATGTCCGCAAACTAAGGGAGTCAATAAATAATCAGAACCCATGAGCTACGAATCCTTACCGCTCCACACATATGGATCTCCGTGGTTTCGTCCCCATGCAGCTGGAAGATCCCAGACCACACTAGCGTGGGCTTGCTACCAGGGTGCCGAATGCAATGGGTTCCAGGGTGGGTGCTATACGGGTGATAAGCACATGAAAATAGAATTAAAGTTGGACGTACAAGACCTGACATTCGAGACAGTACCACATCTGTGGTGGATCGGTATTGAGCACAGACAGTTCCCCTTTAACCTCTCTCCAACCCGACGAGTCCCCTTCCCAAGTCAACGAGTAACATCGTTGAGCAGCTGAGAGAAAGACGGTAAATAGCACCAAGGACCAGAAATGAACTCAAACTTACTGCATGCCCGAGGCGTTTCCATCATGACGGGCAAATAACGCGCATACCCTGACACCTCAGATGTAAACTTGGTATATGGATTAGCGTCCAATTGGCCGTCCCGATTCCTCATCGCCTTGAATGCCCTGGGATTCATAAACCCGAAATTCATCCAGCGTTGCAACCGGATCGACCAGTATCGGTATGTGCTCCGATCGGCATAGGAAATCAAACGGTCGCGGTTCTTGTGCAGCTAAGGGAAGAAATAAATACATACACTCAGCAAAAACATTTAACGTCACCTTGCAGGAACCGACACACAATACGTCCCCAATTTCAGCATCTTTCGGAAGGAGGCTGCCATCCATCTTAGCCACTTCAACCAACGCACCCCCAGTGGTATCTGCAAGCAAAAACTCCATGAAAACTGGAAAAGTCAGCAGCGTATTAAACCAAACAACAAGAACTCACATCCACCCCCTCCCCTGTAGGGCATGACACCTGATTTATGTTGAACTATCCCGACGATGGTGAACCTTGATCCGCTGTCATGCATTGCCGAGGTGAGAGTGGTAACACTCTACGGAAATCAATGAGTATGGAGGGGTGGAAATGAAAAACGATTTACATCTGGGATAGTGGGCGCGTCGTTGGACACGTCTGCTGCGGTGGACACGTCTGCCGCGGAGGACACGGCTGCCTTGGAGGACGCGTCTGCCATGAAGGACGCGTCTGCTGGTGAGGATGGATGTAGCAGGGAGGAGGACGTGGGCGGGGTAGAGGATGAGTGTGGCGGGGAGGACGTGGAGGACATGGGCGGTATAGAGGATGGATGTGGTGAGGAGGATGTGGACGGCGTAAGTGGTGCGTCGTCATGGCATCGACACTTTTTGAGAGGAGGATCGGAGTTGGCAGCAGGGGACAACGCGCGTTTCTGGCCTAGGAGGAAATATCAGAGTGGCGGAAAGTGACCCATTGTGGAAGCGTACTATGGGACATATTCGAGACTAAGAGAGATAGAGATAGAGCAGAGATAGACGAGGAGGGAGAGCAGAGAGAAGATATGAGGAGGGGGGGTCGAGTCGGGTTTATATAAGGGAGCGGGATCAAATTCACATTGCGACGTCGGGATCAATAACATTCATGCATGAATGAAAACACAGCCTCAAGAGTCAAGTGTTCGTTCAGTCTCCTTTCTTGATTTCTCCAAGGTCAATGCACAGCGATATATACAAAGGACGAGAACTTGGTTGCGAACCCATGATGCGTAATACATGATTGTACTAGTGTAAATAGCACAAATACTTTAACAATCTTGGTCAATTCACGAGGAGTGACCGGTGATGTAAACGTTAGTCTCTCTCAAGTATGGAAGCAAAACACGTACAAAGGGCATGCTTATTCGTTAGATATCATCTGTAAATACAAGTGGAAACATAAGCTTTTGTGGCTCGGCGGTGCTGGTCTACCCGCATCGTCGCCACTTGCCTTGTCATAACCACGACTTGTCGTATTACAAATGTTCACTAGGAAGATGTCAGGTGCAGCTCTTGGCATGCCAAGGCCGCTACAATGGTACCGCGTCTCATACCCTCGGCTGACACATGGGCTGCCCAACGTCCCCACTCTCCCACTGTCTTGTTGTCCATACCCAATCCTGGGGACTCACAAGAGTGCCCAAAGTGGGGTGCCACTCTGTCTCTCACCCAACATTGACGGAAAGCGAGATAAAGAAGACGCTGATACCATTCTCGTTCATCCAAATCATCTATCCCAGGGCAAGACTCATCTGCATGACAAAACGTGTGATGTGGTGGGTGACATCGGCATTTGTCAATGTAGCAACAACCGCAATATGAATACGTTTGTTCACTAACAACGGTTCGATGGAAAGCTACGCATGACGGAGTGGCACCATGGAGACCCTGCTTGAAGACTTCGTATGGAGTGCCGAGAGAATAAAAAGGACACGGTCTTGAAATCGGAGCCACGCTGAGCTGAGATGCGTGGTGGACTTCCCTCCCGGTTTGATAGAGGCACAGAATGCATCCTCTGTGGAAGCGGGACAAGACTTCATGGGCGTTGGAACCACGCAGGGCGTCAAGCATCGTGGAGGGGGTAGGGGATACCTGCTCAGAAAAACCTGTTCCTACTTCCCAACCCAACAACACGGGATCGTTCACCACGTCACTGCAGACACCCATCAGAGAGTCTGCCTGAGGAGCGATAAGGCAGCAAGCTGGGATAGACGGTAAGCGATCATCCCGATTGGCTGTATTGTCCTCAAATGGCAAAAGCCTGGCACCCTCGAGATAAGGAATGCCAAGTAGCCGTTCTGGTGATGATGAGCGGCGGGGTTCTACACCTTCGGAACCCATGTTGGAACCCATCGAGGGTTCCTTGGAAGGGGGCACATTGGGAGCGATGAGACAGGAAAGTGGGACGGAAGGCAAGTGTGATGGCGCATCGTTCGTAGGTGATTCATCGATCGGGATAGCGGCTGGGATAGGAGAGGAGCGGGAATACGGAGGTGGAGCAGGCTCAAAACACCAAAGAGGAATGGAAGGTGACTTGTCCATCACTGGGACATGTGGCGGGGGTCCGTTGTCCGGGATAGACTCTGGCTGGACAAGGCATGAAGGAAGAATCGAGGGCAAGAGCGGCCAGCGTTCCTCGATCGAGTTAGCTATCGGCATGTTTGGAATCGTGGGTGGCGGGGGCCTCTTCTTTATTAGGTGAGGGCGCTGTGGCTTGGGAAGGGGAAATGGAATGGGGACATGACTAGGTGTTTGAGTGGGTTGGAGAAGGTTTTCAAGGAGATGCTGGGGCGGTATCTTTGTACCGGATACCAAAAATTGCGAATGTCTTTGCTCCTGGAAAATACACATGAGCCCCGCAAAGGATCACATATAAACCCAACTCACCTTATGAAGTTCACAAACATCGCAGAGGGCAGAGTCAACTACGTACAGGCATGTAAGCGGCTTGTCATCCAAAACCTGCCCCAACACTAGTCGCCGGCAAGGTTGCTCCGCCAACGGCAATGTGAGTGATGACAATAGTTGCTGGCGTTCTGGGTCCCCAAAGGCGAATCGATGCTGTTGCATGGGAACGACAACATGAGAGACACCAAACTTGAGGCCCCTGGCCACTCGTCCACTCGCCTGTGCAAACTCGATAATGGTCTCTGGAAAGTCGTGGAATACTGCAGCCACAACCGAAGAATGATCGATCCCATGATAGAGCCCACTAGTGCCGATCAAAATGGGCTGGTTCCCGCGATACCAATCCCAATAGCGATCCTGGCGGCTTTGCACCTGGGAGTGGTAGACAATCGGGCGCTGTTGATCATCAACAAGAAGGTCCGCAATTCGTTCAGCATCAGATATCTCCCTCACAAACACAATGACCCGTTGACCTTTCTCAAGTGTCGACAGGTACTTTCGGGTTATCGACACAACACTCTGGTCTACATCAGAAGACAGTTCGAACCGGTATTGGACCTCGGGTCGCTGGGTATGAGAGTCTCGTGCAACCACTGTGCGACGAGCATCCAGACCCAACAGGGAAGCGAGCTCACTGTACATCTTAGGGGGCAACGTCGCTGTCAGAAACACCTTTTGGATGGATACTGTCATCCAATTCTTGAGAAGACAGTACTGGGGCCGAAAGGCAGACCAAAGGCAGACAAGATGGACTTCATCGAGAACGAGCCGGGTAATTCGTGGGCTATGACGCGCCAAAGAGAGCAGCTCATCATGATTGGCAGCTTCCAACGTGACTAGGATGACACGATGAGTGGCCTCCACTTGAGCTGGCCACTGACAATAGGGGATACCAAGGTCCATGAGCTTGCGGCAATAGTCAACCTCGATGGCCACAAATGGGGCAATGACGATGGAGATAGAGTCGCCTTCTTCCATTAGTGCGGGAAGGAGGAACGATAAAGATTTCCCTCCTCCTGTTGGGAGGACCGCAATG